CTGCTCTCCTGCTGGCAGCTTCCGTGTTCCTATTCCAGCTTTTCTCTACCTCCCAAATCCCGTGTATTAGCCGTGACTGCCTGGCTCCCTGTCCAGCTGCGCTTGTACTGTGGCACCTCGAGCAGCAGGGTAGCTGTGGCACTGTTCAGCGACTGGAGGTGCGTGCTGTTGCTCTGGCTGCAGGCTCCTGCTGCAGTCTTGCTCGCAGCTTGGTCGTTTCAGGATAATTTTGGTTGATGATTTAAGAGAGCTGGGGACACGCCTCTGTCGTGTGACCCTCTGAGCTTTATGCAGTGAGCAGTTACAGTTCCCCTGAAACTGTGGTGGCCTATTATGAAGCACTTAAAACTAAGTAAGGAAATTAATGTGGCATTCTCTGAGCGGGCCCGGGGTCTGTTAAAGACTCCTCTCTCTTGGTAGGAGATAGAGAAGTTTAGAAGGGTATGTACCAGTATATGGAAGAACTACTACTGTGTGAAAGAAGAGGAAGAGCTGCTGCTGCTGCTTTATGGAATATAAAAACTGGTTGCTGAGAGGAACAGGTAATAGACCTGTTAACAGGTCTGTTAACAGAACAGGTAAAAGACCCGTCTGAGCTGATTCTGATGATGGTAGCCGGCATTCAGGGAAACAGAAATCTCCTGGCATAAGGCAGTATTTTGAAATCTACACACAGATTCAGAAGAGCTGTAGGGGAAGCGGGGGATTTCAGGCTCACCCTCTTGAGAACATTTTTCCTGTTTTCCCCTGGAAAGGAAGTTTGGTCTCTAGGCTAGCTCAATAGGCCACACTACTAGAATTAACCCTTTGATCAAGGGAAATAAAATGGAAATAAACTTGCCCTCACATTTTTATAAGCTTGAAAATGAAGGAATTGTAATAGTTGCTCTGAGTTTTGGATTAAGCAGGTCTACCTGTAATTGCGAGACTACCGAAGGAGAGAGTGCTGGGCTGGAAAACTGGTAAAACTCTGTGAAATGTAGTGGGAATGAAAGCAAGACATTAATTAGGAAAAAGAGATTATTTTAACACCCTACTAAATTAAAAAATTGTACTATATTTAGGTTCTAATTCCCTAATTCAATCAGAGGAGTAATTTTCTCCTGCATTATGTTTTCACAGAAATACAAAAGGAGTATTACTTTCTATTAAGTTGCGTTCAAATTTTTACAGGCCTATGTTTTGAGAACTTTAAAGAAAAATAATAGTTCACAAGAGCACTAGAACTAGCAGAAGACATTGGGGGGAAGCGGTATAAAAGAAATTGAGTGTCTTTGTTGATCTTTAGATTTTTAAAGCCATGCTTCCATTTCCTAGATGGCAAAACTAACTACTTGGCATGTTCAAGGTCAACAAATTCTCATTGCAGAAGCAGATGATGAACCCCGAACTCTTCAACCTATATGAAATCCTTCCTATCAATGGTACTGAAATAATGAAGTTAAATTAAACTGAAATATCCACTGCCGTGCTATTTCAACACAAGAGCAAATATATAGCCTACTTGGATGACCCTGATCTGCAACGGCCTCAACTGACTGGGGCGTGAGCATTTTTGACAATGAGATTAGTGCCAGACTGGCAGTTGGATTAAATTTTTGAAAGTGCTTAACGTGTAAGAATTGCCTGCGATCCTTAGCCAATGGAGAGTGAAACTCACTGCTGCCTATTGAAATTGATTTCCTACGTAAGCAGCAAGTAGCTTTTGCCAAAGCCAACACAGGCCATTCAACCAACCGCTCGGCCGGGTCTCCGCTTTCCTGTTTGTGTGTTTCTGTTAACAGACTGGGTGCTACAGAAAATGGACCGCACTGCTCCGTTAAACGGTCGTCTGTCGAATAGCAGGACTGTAGAGTAATAAAATCTATAGTGTTTATTTGTCTAATGGGAAATGTACAGAAAATAGCCCAGGTATGCATTTAAAATTAGTTTCCCAAAGCACTCTTGGGAATCCAGAGCGCTCTGAAATGTTTTTCTGTGGAGGTCATTGTTTCCTTTTTGTCCCTTGATGTCCAAATAATGATACTGCTGAAAATCACACTCTTATTTTCAGGACTGCAAAGTCTAGCAAGGAGGGATTTTTCTATTATATAGCGAGATCAAAAGTCTGTAGAGGGTGAGAGTTGCTGATGCATTTTTTTAAGTTTTGCAACAGAGGGAGGATGTAGCAGTGTG